GGGCCCCTGCTTAAAAAAAGGGATGGGAAAAAAAAAAAAAAAAAAAAAAAGTCACATGCACACAGTGATAAAATAGGGTCACAGAAGACAAGAGGGAGAAGAGTGATGAAACGGAAGCAAAATAATGTATTCCTGATATAAGCAACTGATGGATTACAGATGATGAATGGTCTACCTTAAACACTTTTCTTATGCCCTACCAAGAAATGTTCTTGAACATCACTGCAACATAAATGAGCCAAAATAAATTAAATCTAATTACAAATCAAAAATGAAAGGTAGAGTGGGATAAAGAGCACAATAAGCTATGTTAAAAACCAAGGGAATGAGTCTGTGTCCTTCAATGACTGCTTTCAGTCTGTGTTAGGTTCTGTAGTGCAGATTCCATTTTGCAGCTGCTGCAGTGTTAAGGAAAAGGGGTTTGGTATGCTGGTACCTGTAAGGGCAGCTCACCGCCTCATGTATGACCCGTTAAGTGACTGTTTGGGCATCTGTGAGTTCATGTACCCATGATGCCCAGGGCTGGAGTACATCATGTTGCTATGAGGACTGGCCTGCATTGACTGCTGTGCATAAGGCTGACTTCCCATCATACCCATTTGCATTGGGTACTGAGGACTCTGATTCATATATCCATGGTTGCCATGATAGCCACTGTTCATCATGGACTGAGATACACGGTAGCCACTCATGGCATTGAGTGTGTTTACTGGATTGACATTGTAAGCAGGTGCTGGCATTAGATTGACACTCATATTCATTCCACGCTGCATGGTGAGAGAACGTGAAGGAGGTTGCATGGCCATAGCCTGTGGAGGTGGGGCGTGGCCATACAGCTGTGGGGGGTGGGGCCCAGAAGAGGCTCCAGGAGGCAATGCAGATACTTTGGCCCGCATGGACATGTGAGTTTTGCTCGTCATCTGTGTCTGTAGCCTTTGACCATGTGAAAGCCCCATCTGCCCATTGGACATATTGCGCTGGAGAAGTGGTGGGTGCAAGTTCATAGGGGGAGGTGTGAGATTTGCAGAATGATTCATTGTTGTTTGGGACTGTGGGGGCACAGAATGTGGACTTTGGGTAAGCTGCACCATGTTGCTCAGGGGAGAGGAAAGGGAGGCACCATTTGCATAGGATGTTACGGCCTGGGTATGGCTGTAAGGCAGGGAGTGATTCATTAAGGTGTTTGTTAATTGCTGAAGTTTGGCAAGGCTGAATGTGGCAGTGGGCTGTGGGTAGTGCCCGGATCCAAAGTCTCCTTGACTTATTCTATCGTAAAGCCCACCAAGTCCACTTCCACCAGTTTCTGGCATATCTGACAATGTGAAACCTTGTCCTGCCATTCCACAAGGAGCAAGTTGCTGCTGTTGGCCACTACTAGGAGGTCTATCTACTGCACAAGCTTGCGGAGACTTAACATTGCAAGGGCGGTTAGGAGGGGGAGACCCAATCATGCTGCAGTTATTGTTCATTGTAGGGATCTGTTGTGTGACAGCACAGCTGCTCTGCGTTAAGTTGGCCGATGTCATTCCCCCGCTATATGTGCAGCTGTTTTGCGAGGGTAAATTACTTCCTCCCATACCAGAATCATAACTGTTTGGATTATCATAGGTTTCGGTGGTGCTCTCAATACTCCCCAAGTCACTGAATCCACTGTCCACAACCTGCTGTGAGTGATCAGATACTGAGGATACATCCATCATTGGACTAGCTTCAAGATTTTGCAAAGATGGAACAGGCATTGGAGTCTGATCAGGGCTAATCTGGGCATAAGTATTCTCCAAAGAGGGTGCATTGGGGCTACATGATGACCTAACAGAATGACCTGGATGTGAATGAACAGAAGACACTGGACTGCTGTGGGCAGACTGAAGGCAATCCTCTGTTGCACTTGGTGCTGGGCTATGGGCATAAGTCTGCAGACTATGACATGCTTCCTGGGTCTTTGAACAGTCTCTATATGCCTCCTCGTCTGCCTCACTTTCACGTGTCAAAGACTGCACGGCTTGAGCAGTTTCAGAGTCAATATCTAATCCACCCCCACCTTCGCGAGGTAGCTCGGGAACTACATCCTCTGTGAGAGGTTCACCAGGACCAACGACTTGCTCTGGGGTTTCATGTGGAAGTTCATTTTCTTCAGGTGCCTTTTCAGCCTGCTCTACTAGAGTATTGTTTGATACATCTGTCTGTGGTGGGTTACTATTTCCTATACCAACATCTAAAAAAGCCTGTTCATCCAGGGATGCTTGGAAAGCTTCCCCTTGTACCTCTTTCATTGATGGATCAAAGTGGCTTTCATCTTCATCATCTGCATCATGATCCTCATTATGAGACTGCTCCTCTTCATCTTCTTCCTCTTCTACTGATGCAAGATCTTTTTTCTGCTCAGTCCCAGTATTTTCACTTTTTTCTTCGAAAATGATTGGCTGCTTTATGTCTTCCTTTATATCTTCCTCCTCCTGCTGGATGCCACCCACTTCTTCTACCTTCTTCTGGTCTTCGGCTTCATCTGTTTCATCCTCCTCTTCAGCTCCTTCATAGTCCTCTTCTATATCATCTTTTTCTTCTTCCTCTTCTGTTTTATCCTTTGAATCTTGATCGGTGTCTTTTTCTTCATCCTCGCCTGCTTGATCTTTTTCATCTTCTGGTCTTATATCTTCATAGTCTCTCTTTTCTTCTTCATCTGTCTTTTCTAGACTGGTGCTACTTGGACTCGGTAGCTCTATAAAAGAGGCTCCAGCTTCTTCAACACAAGTTTCATTTTCTTCAGTGGTTTGCAAGATATCTTTGTGATGAGCGTCATGTCCATCTTCAGCTTCCTCTTTAGCCTCCTCAGTTTGGATCTGATAATCTGGCTCCATAGGAGTCTCTGGTGGTGTATAGAGATTGAGTTTAAAGCCAGCTTTTTTATCCACACTATGCTTTCTCTTAGATGGCCCTCTTTTAACTCCTTTAGGCCATCCCTGTTTTCGCACAGGCTGACATGCAGTTTTTTCGTGAACTTTATTGTTAACCAACTCCTCTGAAGAGGGTTCTTCTACATGATCTGTGTGGAAACAAATATGTAATGATTAGTAATAAATAAAAGCACCTATAATTAGAGCCAAGCCAGAAACAACTACAAAAACGTACAAAGTGTACTGCACAATGAGAAGTAAACATACAATTTCTGCAGCTGAAGAATCACGGCTGGTTTATGGCCGTCTAATCCCCTGGTGTACAACCTGTGGCGCAAAGGCCACAAGCAATCTACTGGTGCTTATTGTGGGTCCCAAGACCACAGGAGCTAGTAGTGGGAGTGTTTAATTTATAAAGGGTGGTAATAGCAGTGATCTATAGCAGTCTTGCACAACATGTTGCCTGCTTCTCCTGCAACAAATTTCAAGTATACCCATTCTGTAAACATCTCCTGTACTATGTCTACAGTTCTATTTGAAGCAAGTTTACCGCCTGTAGGCCAGCGGGGGTCAAGTGGGAATCCATTACAAAATCGGTTTATCAAAGTGAAAAACATAGAAGTATACTACACCAAATAAATAATGTAAATAAAGAAATGGCTCTATGTGACAACCACCCTAGAGAGCTTTAAAAGGAGTTGTCACATGACTGAATAATTGCTTGGGCTGTACCTATGCACAAAACAAAGAACAAGCTAGTAACTAGAGAGCTAAAATTCTAAAGCATAACCAACCACCCAAATGTAAAAGTTTCCCATTTTGGGTATGGTAGGACAATGTTTGCTTCCCCTTTGTATTGATACAGCTCTCAGTGAGTGATCCTAGCAGGGAGATAGTTTTCCACCCCTGAAATGGCTTATTTTTTTGGCCTAAAAAAATTCCTTAGGACAACCTACTAGAGCAGTGCTCACTAAATGGCAGACCGCAGTCGCCTACCTGTGCTGGGGCCTATGTTTTCACTGCCAGCTGTAACCAAGCACAGATTCTTTCCACCCCCAACCTCCCCCCTCCAGTCATTGGCTGCTAGGACTGATGGCTTCCTAGCAAACAATGACGTCAGGCAAGCAGGGCCAGCTCCTCCTCAACTACAAGTGATCAGGCTGTTGTACAGCCACCAAGATCACTTGTACTAGGTTGTAATTGTGCAGTCCCCCCTCTCGCAGTGGTTTTCGGGTCCCCTGTTCCCCTGGAGGGGTCCAGGACCACAGCACACAGTGTCAGGACGTAGAGCGAGAGCAGACTGTTCCTTGACTTGCTTTGTGATCACTGAAGCGATGAAGTGCTGCTCTCAGCTCTTCGTGGTTCAGCTGTCAGAAGCTGGCTGAAGTGGCGGGTCCTCTTTATGGAAACATTATGGTTCTCCAAGACCCCTAATGTCACCTAGGAACCCCCAGAGAAGCAGAGATCTGCTTCACCAGCTTCTGAAGCTGGAGAGTGACAGCAGAATGCGGAAGTGATGTGGTATACATCACTTCCTGCATTGGGGGACCAGAGAGGAGATCAGAGGGAGATTGTGTACTGAACTCCTGCCTGGAGAGAAAAAAGAGAACCTGTGCATTAAAGGTGTTTTATTTTCTAAGGCAAAAAAATAACTGTACAATTTTTGCAGACTTTGCTTACGCCCGAGTCTCAGATGTAAAAGATATATACGGTATGCTAAATTTCAAGAAGATTGGATAATATGTAGAGGTTGCACACTTTGATCTGTTTTGTAAAAGTAGGCAAAAAATACGATTTTTCAATGTTAATTACTTTTATAGGGAAAACTAGAAATCACAAACTTAAAATACTACCGTATTAAAACTATACACTAAGATTAATATGTAATATGATAGGCAAAACATGTGTTATATTAATCAACTTTGAAAGATGCAATCCCTTGTTTTGTTCGCTTGATGACGACTTTTCTGTGATGCTCGACTACCCTCAACAAGAATTGTTTTTGTTGTTCATCCCTGACCGATTCGTTATACTTTATCAGAGCAATTCCTCTTTCTGCGGTATCATTGACAACCTTAAGAGCGTTCACATGGCTTCTAAGAGAATCACTGCAGTATTCTGTCACGTCGTGGATCCCAAACAATTCAAAGAACGTCTTTGTTTTATTAGTAACGAAATGGCTCAGGTCTTTTCCTTCAAAAACCATGTTTTTACCCTCTAATCGTTTCACTTCCTTTTTCTTTGCAGGTTTGGTTTCTAAATTTTTAGTCATATTTTCCTTAACAGCCTGAGTAATAAGTTCATCCAAAAAAGCCAATCCTACGTTTGTTTCTGACAGATACCAAAGGTGTCTCTTAGCAACTGTGAGAGCACATTTTTTGACGTCTGCATCTGCGTAAGTGCTCAGAAGCTGTAGCATATCCAAATCATTCTTTGGAGCCCATCGACTTACAATTGCCTCATGCCAAAAGCGAACATATATGAGGCTGACAAAATGTGCAACCCGTTTCATTCCTTCCAATTGTCGTTGAGGAATATTCAGCTGTTTAGTGAAGAGGACAATTTTAAGTGCATAAATTGCCTATGCCATCCACCTTGCTTGATGCAGTGCCCCTGGGATCCTGAAACTGAAGTCGTTTTTAGAACAACCTCCTAGGTACAGGAGTGAGAGTTGTAATAACTGTGATAAAAGTGATCAATGTGTGCAAACCACTAAATATTATCCAATCTTCTTGAAATTTGGAATATATATCTTTTACATCACTGAGACTCGGGGCGTAAGCAAAGTCATATGAAAATCACATCTTTGGAAAAATGAAACACCCTACTGTGCGTAGTAAAAATATGTAGAAAAAATTATTTTTGCGTTTCTTGTTGATATAGGATTACTCATAGATAGAACTGATGCCTTTGTTTTAAATGTACGGTAGAGGTAATGCTTAATCCCCCCAAAACTTTTTTTCTATATGCACATTGCCCATTTATGGAGACCTGTAAACTCAGATTTTTTTGGACTCAATAGTAGTTGATCATAGGTTCATCCGACTAGCATAAATGTGAGCCATATAATGAGTTGATGTTAATTCAGGTAGTGCAACCTGGGCAGTGGGACACACCACACTCCCTGTTGCACGTCACCAAACAATCTTCACATATGGATATTATAGTATAAACGTCCAATTCAAGACCTCTAGGATCAGGATTTGTTGGAATTTGATTGCTGATGGATAGTCAGAAGTTCATCCAACATATCATCAAGACTGACACGGATGTGTGTCTATAATAGGATAATATTGATTCAAGCAGTGTGTCCTGGGGAGTGGAATATATCACACTCCCTGTTGCACACCACCAAACAATGTTGACATGCAAGTATTTTGGCAAGAAAGTCCTTGGACCGAATGTCCAACATCTACAAAATGAAATAAAGAGCAGTCCCACCCAAATTGAATGGAATCCTCTTTATTCAGAGTATATATCAATCCAAGCATGGAATAAGTCCAAAGAGGTCTCCCAATATCACAGATGAAAGGGTATGATAAAAAGTGTTGTCCATGGATAACCTCAAACACTTAGCATGAACGGCATCAGGTACTACCGCACAGGTATCCGCCATCTCAAACCTGACATGCTTCGCTCAGCAACGGAGGTTTATCAAAGATATGCGGCTAGAATATGAAAGGCTTGGGGTTATATTCATGGGTACATAATGGAGAAAAAGAATGAAATGAATGTAATTGCAATGAGATGATTTGGTAAACAATGAGAACCCGTGAAAAAGACATGACTGAGCAACATCAGCAGTACAGGAGGAGGTTATTTGTAAAAAAAAAAACAACTAAAAACCTCCCACTAAATAAGCTGGCTATACACTTTTGTTTCCCCGTTCAACCCATGGAGCTTGATTCTCCATCCACGTTAAACAGTGTGGATGGGGTATCCCTCCTAACAGCATCTGCAGCCGTCAATATATATCTGAAAAGCGGCTGCAGCTTATTTCAGTCCAGCTCCTTTAGCAAAAGACAATTGAAAAATCATCTTTGGTCAAATGGAGTGGTGCCAGCAGGGCCACCCACAGCTCGAAATTCCAGCCGAGTAAGCAGGACTTGACCAAAATGTGAGCAGTGTAAGGCTAGTTATAAACTGAGAAAAACAAAAAACAAAACCCGTCAAAGTTTATGTCTGGGCAAACAAACGAACAAGAAAATAATCAGTACATCTCTGCACGATATGCACATTTCCCTGTGTTCTGTCTGTAAAAGCTCCAACTACAGAAATATACCTGTGGAAATTAAGGAAGCTCTTACATTTTACTGTACTGAGTTGGCAACGCTGTCACTTTGTATTGAAATCCCAAGAAGTGTTTTCAGCTCTGCCCGAGTTCTGGCCTGCAGGACTACTCAACACATTACGTTTATGGAGTAGAGGAACAAGGGGAAGTGTTGTGTAGTACAGAAGGGCAAAATCTCTTTGCTTGTCAAGATAAAACAACTATTCTTAAAAGTGCCAATAGGCCAAAGGTTGGCAGTTGAAGTTTGACTAAAGACAAAACTTTTTTTAGATTTTGAGTGGTAAGGGGTTAAAAACATTGTCAGGTTTTTACCGTTGTCTGTGTCCCTATTAGGAAGATTCTCTAAATTGTCCTGATCACCAAACTCACTGGGAATGAAAGTGAGGGTAGATCTCAAAATTTGATTTGCCATGGAAGTGAAATAGAGGGGCATTGTTCCAATGGGGAAGCTCCTGCTTCTCCAATCTAAAGGTGCCCATACACCTTACAATTATCTTGAGATTTTTGTCTGCGATTTGCGTTTTCATCAGAAAATCAGCCAGTTGAAGGGAAGTGCACAACCTCAATTACTGTACAACTGGCAGATTTTCATCTTTCAAGCAGGCTAGAAAACTTTGTCTAATTGTACAAAAATGTACAAGTTAGTGGCATTGTTGTACAACAAAATCTACAAACTACACATGCAATGGAAAATCAGCCAGCAAAGGCACTGTGTTGTCAGCCCACAACATGAAATTAGCTGAATGCTTTTCTTGCAGGACATCAGGTATTTTTCTGTCTTTACAGGAACAAAACATGGGGAGATGTGCAGCTATTGTAGAGATGTATTAAGTAGAGGTGCACTGAAATGGAATTTTGAGATCGAAAAAAATGTTTTTTTCTAATTTATAAAAAATATTTTATTTTTATTCTTTTTACTTTGCTGTCGGGGGCTCTGGGGAAATACCAGGGTCTAAACAGACCCCTGATATTCCTTTTTGAAATAGATAAAGAGATTGAGGACACAGAGGCTAAATGTCTTTCTGCAGCCCCTTTTATGATTGAACAGGAAAGACTCTACACTGAGGGCTCTTGTCCATTCATAAACTGTGGATATAGTTACTATGTCCACAATCATGAATGAACAGGAAATTATGTAGAGCACTTCCTGTTCATTCATAACTGGGGACACAGTAAGCTTACTATGTCCTGAATTTACAAGCACTCAGCGATTAGCTGATCCCTGAGCACTTGTAACCACTCTCCATCCTGACTCCTTCAACTGTCACAGAAAGCTGAGCGGGTGGTGCGGGGGAAGATAGCTGTCATAGTAGGCCAAGCTGTCTCCATCCTGAGTCTCCTGCGACACCGCCGCTGACATTGCTGTCCTCCCTGCCCGGCTTCCTGACAGGTTTTCTCCTCCCTGGTAGATGCTGTTCTGTGTCAAGGAGGACACAGAGCAGCGCCCAGCGAGGAAGAGAGAAACTATGAATGCACTGCAATTTCGGCCACAAAACGGTAGCTTCGGCATTTTGGACAAAAGTACAATTTTCGGCCAATATGTTTCGACAGCCGAAATTTCGGTGCATCCCTAGTAAGTGATGTTATTTTTTTCTTGTTATTTTACCCTGATATCCACTTCAATACAAACTGTTGAAATAGCCTAATAAATAAAAGTCAAACATGCCATATGCAGATTTTTGCCTATTATATAGTCAAGGGTGACACAGTCTGTTATTTATTCCATATCATTTCCAAAAATGAAAAGATATTTGCTACAATATAAACATACATCTAAAAAATATATTTGTATGGTTTCAGGATTCTTGAGGTATCTCACAATTACAATATTTTATTTATATTACATAAATATAACATAAAACAAAAATTAAATTTTTACTATACATTTCTACAGCAAAATACGTAGCGAAAAGAGGTGGAAAAAGCGACCATTTCATCATCACATACCCATGAGGACAGTAATACACACGAGGACAGTAATACACACCAAGAGAGTTTAACACAAGTTGATAGTTATTGGACTGAAAAGTTTGTCTCTTTTGGATATTATGCAAAGCGATTAATGAAGACAAACTTGACTATGGAAGGAAGAAGGAAAAAGCAATAGCTTTTAAAAAATATATTGTAAAAATTTGTTTTTTGTTATATTAATAAAATATTGTGATTTTATATGAAATATGTTTGACATGAACTAGCTTGGAGGTACCTCAAAAATCCTGGACCATAGAACTATATTTTTTAGGTGTATGCAATTTGTTGGGATATGATAGCTATAAAAAGCTTGCACATGCGCTTCACTTTAGTAATATACAATAAATGTTAACATACTTGGACATAGCTCTTCCATTTTGTTCATTTTTTCGGTTGCTGTACTGTTGGGTACCAGTTGTTGGTTGGCTCGCCTGCCATTGGTTTCTTTTTGGTCCACTTCCTGTTGTGGCTCAGGGCTGCTCCTGTCAGAATCTTCAAATGGCTCATTTAGCACTTCGGTGGTCTCAGAAATAGTCTCTGTTGTGACACTGCTGTTAATTCTCCGCCGTTTTCTCCCACGCCTCCTTCTGGGTGTGAAGGCACTCTGTCCAAAAGTAATATGGATATTAATATTTATGAAACACAGTAGTGTTGCCTATTTAATATAATGAATTCTGAACATAAAGATCTGTAGCTAACCATAGAGGGTTTCAATATTGCGTACATTCAATTAAGTAGACTCTAATGGGACAAACATGGATTAGGTGGTCAGATGACACTAAAAGCAACTGTGAGCAGAAAATTGTAAATACGCTGGTACTTGCATTTCACAGAACTCAACCTCCAGCTGACTGCCTGTCACATTTACTTTCTCCGGAAGTGTGCTGGAACCCCAAAACACTGGGAGTTATGCAACAGCTCTGCCTGACATCTAGTGTGTCTCAATATTGGCCAGTGAGGCTGCCAATCACAGATAGGCCAATGCTGAGGCACAGGAGGCCTGCTAGAACCTAGGACCTTAGTAGTTTTATCCTTATTTGCATAAGAGCTCCTTTAATTTTGAAGCTCTGTAAAGGAACGAATGGATGATGTGCGGTACTATAAGTAACAATTTACCTTAAATCTATTTTTTTAAGAGACATTTGTTCAGAAAAATATGTATTTTTTATATACATTATCACTGTTTAACATAATAGGATTTTTGTACTCATCATTGTGTACTTTGCTTGTAGAGGGGTAGAGGAAGTAATTAACTGTCAAGTTATATTGCCACCTACAGGAGTAGTGGACACTAACAAAAAAAATTGCTGGCCAACCCACAATATACTCTCCTACTACCGGTATCCTCAATTTTGTAGCAAAGCAGTACCAAAAGCATCATCAAATACACAGAGGGGAGGGACTGCAAAAAAAAGATTTTACACTACAAAAATCCTATTTTTTTCCCCTCTCCCATTAAGGGAACATACTCACAGCTAGTGAGGAATGACATGACATGGGAGGAAGAAAAACGAAATAGACCATAACAAGGAATCCCCTGCTACTGCCGGAAGACTCCTGAATAAGGAAACTAGCTTGCTCAGCATTCAGATGGCCCTAGTAATCATGGAATTTACCTAAGCATGTGGGCCACTCTCCCATGTCCTTTCACATGTGTGTGGTGGTGTTCTTGCATAGAAACATTGGCATGAGGCTAGATGGACATTGGAATGAATAAATGATTGAACAAATGGATAAATAAGTCAAATGTATCCATTTGTTCAATCATTTATTCATTCCAAGGTCCATCTAGCCTCATGCCAATGTTTCTATGCAAGAACACCACCACACACATGTGAAATGTATATGTATATTTAAAGGGCAGTAGCGCTTCTTTGATCTGTTTTCCATTGTGCTTGCAGGGTCCCTCTCCCTGTTTGAGGAGCTAGCACGCCAAATTTTAAACGCATCAATCCATCTTTAGAGTAGTGCGCTTACTACATTGGTTGTTTTTTTGTATCCCCATGTCCAGAAGCAGGCAGTTGAGGAAAAACTGTCTTCTGGAAGGTCACATTGGAAGAGAGGAGAGCAGACAGGACTAAAACAGAAGATTTGAAAAATTCAGGACCCAAACTATCTCTCTGGTTAAAACAGGTTCACCTGTTCCACCTTGATAGGAAAGGCACGTCCGTGCCTGGATATTGTCCAGCGCTGTTAGTACTTGTCCAGGAAATGATCCCACGATACAGGAAGCAGTACACATTCTGAACTGCAGAATGAAGCCCAGCAGTTTAGTGTTCACCAATAACAGGATCTTCCATAAAGTGAAAAGAGAAGTCCTCGCCAGCTCCAGAATTGGAGGACTGATTTTTCAGGGTAGAAACTACCTGATGATCAGAGGAAGACTATTTAGTCTGCTCAGAAAACTAACCCAGAACAGCACATGGAAAGGCTGAGATGGTCTAAGAAGGGACTGGAAGAAAAGGGGGTTCCTGGGAGGGGGTGACTCCTCAACCCACAAGTCTCCTTCCACAGTCAAGAGCAGGTAAACTCCCTAAATAAGGGAATGGGACATTCTGAAAAAAAAATGCTCTAGACTCTTCTACTAAAGAACCATTTAGGTTTCGACTGTCTGCAGGTGATTAAATGTTTTCCTGACGATACAAGATCAAGCTGATTCTTGAAGATATTAGGGTCTTTAAGAACACATTGTCCCTGACAGTGACAAGAAGGCACTCGTTCCACCTGACTGTGAAAGCCAAAGGGTTCCTCTGGGAATGGACAAGGATGGTAGATCTGATGGATACTAAGTAAAAAAGATGGCCTTCCTATCCCAAGGGAGGCAAACATTTGTTCTGGGAGAGTGAACAGTGGCCATACTGAGATACAATACTGAACTGACAGGAACTAGGCCAAAGACTTTGGGGTCTGAAGATACAAGGGAACAGAAGTAGGTCTACTAATCTGTGACACAGGAAGGTAGAGGGTGAGGAGCTGAAGTGAGTGCTGATAGTAAGGGATTGGTCTGTAAACCCGAAAGGACACTGTCTGCACCTGAAGAGCCAACTACCCAAGGGCCTGCAAGGATTAATAAATGTTCACCCAACTTTGAAAAATGCTGGTGCACCCTTATACCTTTACCACCCTTTTTCTTGTAAATCTGGTCTAATAGCAGAATACTGTGATACTCATCAGGGATAGACTGCGGACCCTGAATCAGAGATCTGACTGATGGCCCGGCGACCTCTAGGACTGCAGGCAGATCAGTAATAGCCTTTGTAGGGCAAGACGTGGAAACAGTCAACACCTGCAAGGAACTGGATGAATTTGGCCACATTCTAGCCTGACTGTAGTAAAGAACGTGGACAAGTGGCCTCATCCAGCGGAGCTAAGGAGAACTTCGATGTGGATGTAGACCCTTTAAAATTTAGGCTAACTGGATTCCAGATTAAAGACATCAGTACCTTTTAGAAGGCACAGAACAAAGATCACCTGAAACTGTTATGGGAGTATGAGCTGTGGTCACCTGTTGTAGCAGGACTGTGCCATCTGTGTCTAGAAACAGACATATTCCAACCACATGGCGGTAATGCAACTAAACTTAGGGTATGAGGCAAGAAGTCAAGTACTCACAAAAACCCAACAGCTGGTGGCCAGTGAGGGTTGGATGGCTAGAGGTGACCAAAGTCACTGTAGGTGGGCGGCAGGAACGGACCAAAGATTGAAACTCCTTGTGGCTTTTTGCAAAGCAGGAGAAGGGAAATTTATCATTACTGAATAACAGGGGAGTGTAAAGCACGTGTGCAGCACTCAAACCAAAAGGATAATGCCAGCAGTTAGTCCCTAAGAGTTAACCTCTTCTGCGGTAAAACCATCAGAAAGCGGAAAATTTCAAAATTTGCTTAGTGGAGCCAACAATTCAGAAGCTCCTAGTGCTTAGTTCGATCCGCCGATTTACAAAGCATGTCTTAAGAGACAGGGCAATCACTAAAGCAATGCAAACAGCTCTGAAAGGTTGCTCTGGATAGCTGCAATTGTAGAGACTAGCTCAAGCAGTGATATAGTGATAAATCTTGCCGGGTGTCTGTTTAAACAGCCCCGATGCTGGCGACGTACACTGTACGTCGTCAGTCACGAAGGGGTTAAAGAGAAAAGAAAGAAGAAGCGAAGAAAAAGGACACTAGCAAAAAATAAGATATGTCCGGAGGGTAGAAGGGCTTTTCCTGGACTGGCCTACAATGTTTTAAAAGGGTCCCGTAAAGGACAAAAAATATATGCAGATTAGCTCTTGCGAGTGCTCTCAGTGGTTCAGTTTAATTCCCTTGCCTCTCTCTTAGCAGCTGTTGAGAAAACATTAGCTACACAAAAGTGTATATTATTGAAGCAGATTTTTTTTTCATATTTACAAAAAAAAAAAAAAAAACTGAAAAGAGGCTTCTTTCCCTTTAATTGGTAAATGTCACTGTAAATTATAGTCATCTATTATGAAATGCTACTCTGAAAATACACTGTTGTTTCCTTTTGAACCACTGATTACAAAGAGTACATTGAAGCATTATTGAAATGTTTATTTTAAAGCTAATTTTAAGTGAATTGTTATACTTTCACTAGGTTTTTGTGCAATATGTTCATGTTTCCATACTGCGCAGTGTTTTGTAGATTATTATACTAGTGACCATGTTTAAGTCAAACAAGTGTACTGACAACTAAAATAAAATTGGAGTTACGTACCTGGTAACTCTGTTTCTAGGAACCTTCCAGGACAGCATTAGAGAGATAGGCTCCTCCCACCGGAACAGGAAACACATCACCCACACTTAGAATAAAAAGGAGCACAAGCCTAGCATGCTTCAGTTAAAACATAAGAAACGAAGGATACCATATTGCAACTCGTTCATAGAATTATAGATACATATACACGTATATACACCCATAATGATACATAACATTACATTGCCTAGCAACGCATAGTAAATCAGTCCACCATATCGGGCGGGAATCCCTGCTGTCCTGGAAGGTTCCTAGAAACATAGTTACCAGGTACGTAACTCCAATTTTCTCTAGTCACCTTCCAGGACAGCATTAGAGAGGATAAGCGAGCACCATACTCACAATCAGGGGGGGGGAACCACAGTATACAGGGCTTTTACCCGAAAGCCTGATCTTGGTTGACCGTTACGTCAACTCTACAGTATTTGACAGCGTCAAGAGCCTGGACCAGTTAGCCCTGCTCTGGTGTAGCCCCTGCACGCTTAGCCCCTAAAGAGGCCAAGCGAACGTCCGCGCCTAGTAAGGCTGCTTCTACCATAACTGATGTACTGGTACAAAAGGAGGGAACTGCCCTACCATGCGTTCCATGACATATTGCACTATTGCCATAGGAAAAACCGGGACTGGTTTTAATACAAGTTTTCCCTGTACATATAGGGTCCCAAATCGGCAAAGTGTACATTTCGCTAAACCACGGCTACTAGCCAAGCAGTTTTAAATGCAATAATTTTAAAGAACATGCTTCAATTAGTTCAACGGAGTACTAGGAAAGCCCGTAGGACTCCGTAATTATATCCACACAGCAGTGACTAACAAGTGGCTATAACCATGCACCAAGTATAACTTGGATGATCA